AATTCTGTTGATTTTTGGTACATTTGGATGGTTTCGGGGGAATTTTGGGTTAATTTGGTTGATTTTTGGGTTATTTTGGGTGAATTTGGGGTGAATTCTGTTGATTTTTGCCGTTTCCCTCCCCAGCTCCATTTGCAGCAGCGCCTGCGGTTCCTGAGCGCCGCCACCAGGGGGCGCCGAGCGGCGCTGAAACCGCTGCAGGAGCAGGTGGGGAGCAAACCAGTATGGACCAGTATGGACCAGTATGGACCACTAAGGCCCCCAGTCCCCTCCCAGTATATCCCAGTATCCTTCAGTCCATCCCAGTTTATCCCAGTTCCTTCCCTGTCCCTCCCAGTTCATCCCAGTTTGACACTAGCTGTGATCTCAATGCTCCCAGTCCCTCCCAGTATAACCCAGTCCCCTCCCAGTCTGTCCCAGTTCATCTCAGTTTGACTCCAGCTCTGATCCCAGTGCTCCCAGTCCCTCCCAGTTCCTCCCAGTCCATCCCAGTTCATCCCAGTGCTCCCAGTTTGACTCCAGCTGAGATCCCAGTAACTCCCAGTTTGATCCCAGTGCCCTCCAGTGTTCACAGTAACCCCAGTCCATCCCAGTATCCCCCAGTTCCTCCCCAGTCCCATCCCAGTACATCACAGTTCCCTCCCAGTCCCTCCCAGTATAACCAGTGTCCCCCAGTTCCATCCCAGTCCCTCCCAGTGCTCCCAGTTTGAGTCCAGCTCCGATCCCAGTGCTCCCAGTAACTCCAGTACGATCCCAGTTCCCTCCCAGTATATCCCAGTATCCCTCATTTCCCTCCCAGTCCCTCCCAGTGCTCCCAGTAACTCCCAGTTCCCTCCCAGTCCATCCCGGTTCATCCCAATGCTCCCAGTGTGAATCCAGTTGAGATCCCAGTATCCCCCAGTCCCTCCCAGTGCTCCCAGTTTGACTCCAACTGTGCTCCCAGTAACTCCCAGTTTGATCCAGTCCCTCCCAGTATAACCCAGCCCCTCCCAGCACCCTCCCAGTTCCATCCAGTATATCCCAGTATAACCCAGTCCATCCCAGTATCCGGCACTTCCCTCCCAGTTCCCTCCCAGTCCTTCCCAGTTCCCCCCAGTTCCATCCCAGTCCCCTCCCAGTATAACCCAGTATCCCCCAGTCCCTCCCAGTACAACCCAGTCCCCTCCCAGTCACTCCCAGTTTGACTCCAGCTCTGATCCCAGTGCTCCCAGTAACTCCCACTTCCTCCCAGTGCTCCCAGTTTGACTCCAGCTGAGATCCCAGTAACTCCCAGTTTGATCCCAGTGCCCTCCCAGTATAACCCAGTTCCCTCCCAGTCCATCCCAGTATAAACCAGTACCTCGCAATTCCCTCCAGTCCCCTCCCAGTATAACCCAGTTCCCCCCAGTCCCTACCAGTCCCTCCCAGTTTGATCCCAGTTCCCGACGTCTCTGATTGGCCGCAGGTTGTGGGCGTGGTGCGGGCGGGGCCGGGCTCGGCCCTTCCCCCTCTGGAGGGGGCGTGGCTGCGGCGCCGGCAGCTGGCACTGGGAGCACTGGGAGCACTGGGAGAGGAGCCCCGCCCCCCGGCACAGGCCACGCCCCCTCTGCGGGGGCTGGCACGGGAGATGGGCGTGGCACAGGTGGGGGAGGGGCTAAGGGGGTGGGGCAGGGCTTAAAGAGGGATAGGAGGAGCTTAAATGAGGGAGGGGCCTATACCAGGGGGAGAGGCCTATACCAGGAAGAGGGGCCTAACCCAGAGGGCTTAAATGGGGGAGGGGCTTAAACCAGGGGATTGGATAAAGTGGGGGAGGGGCTTAAAGTGGGAGGGGCTTAAAGGGTGGGGCAAAGGCTTGAGGGGTGGGACTTAAAGAGGGGGAGGGGCTTGAGGGGGAGGGAGGAGATTTAAGAGTGGGGAGGGGCTCAAAGGGGGAGGGCCTAAAACAGATGGCATCTAAAGAGAGGGAGGGGCTTAAAGATGGGGAGGGGAGGGGCTGAAAGGGTGGGGGAGGGGCTTGAGTGGGGGAGGGGCCTCGAGGAGGGAGGGGTTTAGAGAGCTAAGGGATGGGGGAGGGGAATGGGGGAGGAGCCAAAAGATGGGGAGGGACTTAAATTTAGGGGGAGGGGCTTGGGAGCAGGATTGGGGGAGGAGCTTGAAATGTGGGGGAGGGGCTGGAGGGAAAGGGGAGGAGCTTAAAGAGTGGGGGAGGGGCTTGGAGAGAGTGGGAGGGATTTGGGGTGGGGCTTAAATGGGGCTGAAAAGGTGGGGGAGGGTGCCGCCAATTGTGGGCGTGTCCTGCAGGGTTTGGGGGGCGTGGCCAAGCCCGCCCCCATCCCCTTGTGTCCGTCAGGGCTCGCTGCTGTCCCAGGCGGCCATCTTGCGTCAGCAGCTCCGCCAGGGGGCGCTGCGCCTGCGCCGGGGGGCGGGGCCTGTCCTGGGGGCGGAGACAGAGCCGCTGGCCCCACCCCCCCTCACCGTGGATGTGGCCGAGCTGCTGCCCCGGCTGCGATTGGTCAGAGAAGGCTGCGAGCAGCGAATCAGGGACTGGCCCCGCCTCCAGGAGCTCGTCAGCCAATGGTGAGGGAGGGGGCGGGGCCTGGAGGGAGAGAGGCCTGGAATGGGAGTGTGGCTCCTCCCACCCCAAGCCCCACCCCCTTTTCCTAACCCCACCCCTCTCCCCAGGTGGGCCCAGCCGGCTCAGTGGGTCCTGGCCACGCCCCCTGGCTGCGCCCCCTTCTCCCATTGGCTGCAGCGCTGGAGAGACGCCGCCCACGCCTTGCAGGCCACGCCCACCCCCGAGGAGGCCCCACCCACCGTTGGGAAGGGGGAGGAGTGAGCGGAGGAGGCTCCGCCCATCTGAAGCACTCTGGAGGTTCTGATTGGTTGGGAATAAAATGGTGTGGGGAAAGGGGCGTGGCCTGAGTCTGTGCTCATTGGGGGGACCTAAAATGTCCCCAAATGGCCCCAGAATGTCCCAAATGGCCCAAAAATTGCCCCAAAATGGCCCCAAATGGCCCCAGAATGTCCCCAAGTGTCCCCAGATGGCCCCAAAATGCCCCCAAATGGCCACAAAGGGTCCCTGGGGGGGTCCTGAGGTATCCCCAAGGTGTCTCCATGATGCTCCAATGAGGTTCCCAAAATGTCCCCAAGATGTCCCCAAAGTGCTCTCAGGGTGTCCCCACAGTGTCCTTCAGGTGTCCCCAAGGTGTCCCTGCGATGGCCACTGAGATGTCCCCAAAGTGTCCCCAAGAGTTCTTCAGGTGTTCCCAAAGTGTCCCTGAAGTGACCCTGAGATGTCCCCAAGGTGTCCCCAGGGTGGCTTCGAGATGTCCCCTAAAGTGTCCTCAAGGTGTCCCCAAGATGTCCCCCTAAACTGTCCCCAAGGTGTCCCAAAGTGTCCCCAAGGTGTCCCCTGCGGGTCCTAAAGTGCCCCTGCGATGGTCCCTGAGATGTCCCCAAAGTGTCCCCAGGCTCACTCCCATATCTCCCTCAAATGTCCCCAAAGTGTCCCCAAGGTGTCCTCAGGGTGTCCCCAAAGTGCTCTCAGGGTGTCCCCATGATGGTGACCCTGAAGTGTCCCCAAGGTGTCCCCCAGGGGTCCCCACGGGGCATCCTGAGGTGTCCCCAAAGTGTCCCCAGGGGGGTTCTGACAGTGTCCCCCTGGGGGTCTCAGAACGTCCCCAAGGTCTCCTCAAGGTGTCCCCAAAGTGTCCCCAGAGTGGTGGCTCTGAAGTGTCCCCAAAAGTGTCACCAAGGTGGCCTTAGGGTGTCCCCAAAATGTCCCCAGGGGCCTCCTGATGTGTCCCCTTGGTGTCCCCACGACAGCTCCCAAAGTGACCCCAGGGTCTGGGGTTCCCAGAACGTCCCCACAATGTCCCCAAAGTGTCCCTGAAATGACCCCGGGGGTTCCTGAGGTGTCCCCAAGGTGTCTCAGGGATGTCCCCAGGGTGTCCCTGAAGTGGCTCCAAAGTGTCCCCAAAGTGCTCTCTGGGTGTCCCCAGGATGTCCCTAAAGTGTTCCTGAAATGACCCCAGGGTGTCCCCAAAGTGTCCCCAAGGTGTTCCTGAGCTGGGGGTTCCTAAAATGTCCCCAAAGTGCTCTCAGGGTGTCCTCAAAATGTCCCCAAGGTGTCCCTCAAGTCTCCCCAAAGTGACCCCACAATGTCCCCAGGATGTCCCCAAAGTGTCTCTGAGGTGTCTCAGGGATGTCCCCAGGGTCACCCCAAGATGTCCCCAAGATGTCCCCAAGGTGTCCCCAAGGTGTCTCCAAGGTGTTCCCAAGGTGTCCCCAAAGTGTCCCCAGGATGTCCCCAAGGTGTCCCCAAGCTGCTCTCAGGGTGTCCCCAGGATGTCCCCAAAGTGTTCCCAGGGGGGTACCAAAGTGACCCCACGATGGCCGCCATGATGTCCCCAAGGTGTCCCCAGGGTCACTCCCAGATGTCCCCAGGGTGCTCTCAGGGTGTCCCCGAGGTGTCCCTGAAATGACCCCAGGAGTTCCTGAGGTGTCCCCAAGGTGGCCCCAGGGTCACCCCAAAGTGTCCCCAAAGTGCCCCAAGGTGTCCCTGAGGTGTCCCCAGGGTGGCCCCGCCCCATCCACGTCAGGGGACACCAGCAGGGGGCGCCCCGGGGCTCCCAGTGCATCCCAGTTCAAACCCTGTCCATCCCAGTTCAATCCCTGTCCATCTCAGTGCTCCCAGTTCAATCCCAGTTCCATTGCAGTCCATCCCAGTTCATCCCAGTGCTCCCACTGCATCCCAGTTCATGCCAGTGCTCCCAGTTGATCCCAGTGCTCCCAGTACATCCCAGTCGGTCCCAGTTTGTCCCAGTTAATCCCAGTCCATCCCAGTGACTCCCCCCAGTCCCTCCCAGTATATCCCAGTACAAAGCCGCTCTGTCCCAGTCCCTGCCAGTACAGAGCTGAGGAAAGTGAAGGGAGACGAGCACACATCCTGATTGATGAGCATCGATCTCTGATTTATTGATCCAGCTTACACACTTTTATAGTAGTGTTAATTAAGCTCATACGTATTGCAAAACCCAAGCTCATCAGTGGTTACAGATTACACACCAACCCCTCCTTTGTTTTCAATACCTGTGGTTTCTTGTTGAGGCTAATACTTGTTTTTCTCATCCTGTTGTTGACTTGTTATTGAGCACCCTTTTGAGGACTCCATGTGTTCCACCATGTTTTTCTCATCACTTTACTCAAGGACATGGTGTTTATTGTTGTTAAGGAAAAAGCCTGAGAACTTGCTGCTTACAGCTGCCTTTTACTTTTTAACCAGCTGTATGTGCTCATGGCCTTTCTATAAGCCATGTCTGAGCAAAATTCTCCAACATATTCCCCGTTTTTCTTTTTGCACAAGGAGGTTAGTCTGCAAGGTTTTTTCTATCATTCCACTGATCATATCTTGAATACAATTAAAAATACAAGGCAAAATAAGCAAAAGCATTAAAAGCACACTTAGTATCCCTATAGCAAATGTCACAAGGTTCCCCAGCCATGGTCCAAGCAATGGCTTTTACCCCAAAGGGTTAAAACCACCCCCAACTGAGCCATAATGTCCTGCCTTATCAGGCATTGCACGGTAGGTGGTAATTGGACTAAGAAAAGAAGGCTGTTAGCTGTTTTCATTCATTTGAACCCGGAGAGGAGGCGAACGGCTAGGGCTAATAATGCTGGAATCGACCCCAGTGTCCAACAAGCCTGAAAATGATCCTTTCTGTCCTTGAAATTCCACTTCCACCCTTTTCTTGGGTCTCTCAGAAAGGTTCAAAGTCAGTAAGGTAAGTCCTCCGGTGGATTCAAAACCATTTTTCCCCCTCTCTTGTCCTTTTATAGTCTGTAATCCCTTAGTCATTTGGCTAAAGTGGCACCAGCTGAGCAATTCTCAGTCCTTTGTTAATTTAGAGTGGTGGGAAAAGAGTATGCACCATAACATATAGTCCACACCAATGACGCCAAGCAAAACAAATAATCCCTACAAACACAGATGATCTTCCAAAAAACAAAGCACCCAGCTTGACTCTGTAACAATCGGTCCATGAATCCCTGAATCCCTGTCGGAATTTTCTGTGGGTGCGGGGCCATCAGCATAGCTTCTACGGCGGCTTCTGGTTCCAAGCTGAAGCTCCCTGTGGTGTCGGGTTGGAGACAGGAGAGGGTGCTGATGCTGCAGCGACGACTTCTGTTGGTGCGTGGTCACTGCGGTTCTGGCACCAACTAGGCGTTGGAGGCAGTGCTGTTGACGTTTGAAGAGGTGCAAGAGCAGCTAACACCTGATTCTGAGAGGTCTTTGCCTGTTCTTGTAAGCTTAGCCCTAATTGTTTGATTGCATCTACTACAAAGGCTTCTGCTCCTGTTGGCACCAAAGCCATCCTCTCTAATGCCTCCTCTATAGTCCAATTGGCATCCAGAGTATTAAGCACTCTCCTAGTAGTAGAATTGCAGTTTTGGAGAGCGCACTCCTTGAGTAATGCCCCCCTAAGATATTCTGGTACTCCAGCCCTTTCGATTGCAGCAGCAGCCTTATCAATAAATGACCCGAATGATTCTTCTGGCCCTTGCCTAATTCCCATATACACGGGTACCCCTCCTGGCTCTTTTACCCTCTCTATAGCAAGCCTGACCAACCACATAGCTTCCCAGCACTTATCTTGCCCCAGCAAAGCTTGTGCTTTGGTACGAAGAAAAGGTCCCAAGCCCATAAGCTTGTTCACAGTTATACCATGGAGAGGGTCTCCCTGCTGTTGCTGTACCACTACGCATTCATTTACAAGCTCTTGCCAATGAGCATTGAATAACAACTGCTGATGTTGAATGAATATCAATTTAGCTATTCCCCAACAATCATTTACCAAGAGAAGACTGGTATCAAAAATATAGTCTAACATTTGTTTGGCTGGCTCACTTTTCCCTCCAAATTGATTAACAGTAGACCTCAGCTGAGACAGCAATTTCCAATCAAGGGCTGTAATGGTAGCCTGCATGCCCCCTCCCTCCTGCAGATTGAATACAACAGGACAAGCCAGCTGGGTAGCAGTGCTGATAACCTCCTCATCCCCCTTTTCCATGCCTTCTCTTGCAAGCGCAGCCCACGCCTCCCGTTTCTCCCTCGCAATACCCTCCGCTAGGTCATTTTCCGCCCCAGGGATCGGCTCATTGATTTGCGGGAGCTTATCGGGTGGTCTTGGCCACTGCTCCTGTTCTTCAGGGGGTGCGGAAGCCTCAGAGGCGCGCTCTATACCCAGTCCTGCTGAAGCAGAGGAGGACGGCGAAGCAGGCAAGAAAACCGTCCTCACTACAGGGGCGAGGGGAATACCCATTTCCTGATCATAATCTTTATTACGGCCATGTGCAGCTGTTGCCTGCTCCGCTGCTTTTTTCTCAGCCTGATGCTTTAACATCTCATTGTGAACCACCCTCCATAATTTACCTAACTTCTTGGCAGTTTTATCATCCTCTAAAGTAGCCTCCCACAATAAATCACCAAATTTACGCCACTCCGTTAACTCGTGAGCAGTATGGGGGTTAATAAAAACTCCCTTAGCATAGCCATAAGCCCTGGTAAATCCTTTTGCAAATCTATTCCCCTAACCTGCCGTTTTTGTAAAAAGGCAGTAAATAAATCATATGCTGCTTGCCTTTCGATACCTAAATCGTCAGCGCTGTTGCAGCTCTTCAAGGTCGCAGCAGCACGTATCGGCCGGGCTCGTCTATACGACACCTGAGGCACAGCGCATCTCAGCTTCTTTTTTTTTTTCTCCTTTTTTCTCCGCGTTTATCTGCCGTCCCAGCTGCTTCTCAGAACCCGACCCGTGTCTTCACTCCTCTGTG